TTGAGACAGAGTTTTGCTCTTGTAGCCCAGGCTGGAGTGCAATGGCACAATTTCGGCCGCCTCCTGGGTTCGAGTGATTCTCCTGCATCAGCCTCCCTGGTAGCTGGAATTACAGGCATGTACACCATGTCTGGCTAATTTTTGTATTTTTAGTAGAGGCGGAGTTTTGCCATGTTGGTCAGGCTGGTCTCAAACTCCTGACTTCAGGTGATCCATCCATCTTGGACTCCCAAAGTACTGGGATTATAGGCGTGAGCCACTGCACCCAGCCCAGTGTAATGTTTTTAATTGGCATGAAAACTTTTCATTCTGGTAGAAAATTAATCAGGAAAAATAAAAAGTGATACTCATTTATTCTTGAGGTTCAAACAAAGGTGCATCAGTTTCCTTAGTGACATAAATGATGACTTTTTCTGTTTTTTCCTAAGCAACTCTGTAATTCATAAAGTTTGTAATTTGACAAAGCAGGAGAAAAAGTTATACTAAAGTCCTGTGAACTGAATAGACTCTGTGACTACATGTAGTTCATCAATATATTTCAATATGTAAATTTCATTTTAATTATTTAATGTATACACTTCATTTTAATTATGTGATGTGTGTAGTCTGTGACTTATACATTACATCAAATACATTTCGTTTTAACAAAAGAGTTGTGTTGCTCACCAAAGAGGCCATGGTAAATCCAATGACTTCAATATAGCCATCATCATGACGCTGAGGTTCGAAATCGTGGTGATCTCCTGGGTTTCCCCAGGGCATTGTGCCAGCACAATATCTGCAAGAGAAGATTAGAGACAGAAGTAAGTATGTCCCATCCTTCTCACGACTATCATGAGGAATTAGTCTGAAGTTAGACCTAATGTTTATTAAACATAAAAACAGTTTTCCATTCTTGGTACACATCTTCCAATGGAAAAGAAAATGCACTTCTTATCATCTACAAAATACCAAGCTATTAAAATGGGCCATATTTTTGCAACAAAAGTATCCTGTGTTATCCAATTTTCTCCTCATTCATTATTTATAATATTTCTTACTATGATTCATGTATGTCTGTTTTCCATGATACATCATGAATTTTCTATAGGTGGTTTCAGAATTTGGTCTTAAAGGAAGACATATGCATGCCAGTAGAAAATAGACAGAGAAATGAAGTGGGAAGCAGTTACCATTAATACATAAGCAAAATAAGAAGTACTCACAGGGGCCAGGCACGGTGGCTCACGCCTGTAATCCCAGCACTTTGTGAGGCTGAGACAGGCAGATCATGAGATCAGGAGTTTGAGACCAGCCTGGCCAATATAATGACACCCTGTCTCTACTAAAACTACAATAATTAGCCAGGTATGATGGCACACGCCTATAGTCCCAGCAATTCAGGAGGCTGAAGCAGCAGAATCACTTGGAACCAGGAGGCAGAGGTTGTGGTGAGCCAAGAT